GCGGGCGGGGAGGCCCGGCCTCGCCGCCGCCGCCGAACCCGGCAAAGGGGGGTGGGAAGGACCGGCCTCTCCGCCTCCGCCTTGGAGCCGGGCAGGGGGGAGGACCGGCCTCGCCGCCGCCGCGGAGCCCGGCCGGGTCGGAGCCGGGCGAGGTGGGGGGTGGAGGACCTGCTTCGCCGCTGCAGCCTCAGGGAGATTGAGAGGGGGGATGGAGGAGATGGAGCTCTTCTCCCCCCCCGCGAGTATCGCGGGTTCCCCTCTTGTATTCACTATAGTCTTGAAGGATATTGTGCTCCCCACTTTTGATGGCGTTCAGCTGACCCTTACTGACTCAGTTAAGAGCCTTGGGGTTATACTAGACACAATGTTATTTCTGAAGAAGTAAGTTAATGCAGCTGCAAAAAAGGCTTTGGTGTAGTGGTTAGGACGGAGCATGGACTCTAATCTGGGAGAAATGGGTTTGATTCTCTAGCTGCGTTCAGACTGGCATTTTGAAGCGCTAGGGAGTCGTGGCTTGGTTGCGGTATTCCTGTTCACACCACAGCGAATAAAGCGGGAGGATATCGTGGAGGAAGCATAAGGGAGCATTCACACTGTTGGGCCACCCTGGCGGGCTGTTAGCAGCTGTTTCTGCGCATGGGCGCAGCAGCAAATAGGGCAAGATCGCACAGGCCCCAACGGCGCCTGCCCACAGAAACAGCTGGTGCCCATTATCAATGACTGTGGGTTGTTCCCGCCTTAGCAGCGCTGGCGTTCACACTCAGGGAACTGGAAAACCCACTCTACACACGGCTTGCTACCACTTTCACCTGGTATCTTTTAAACTTGGAAGTGGCACAAGATGGCTTGACTATGGCTGGGGGATGCCTGACAGATGTGCCTGTGTGAACCCACCCCTTTAATCCACTACTGGAACATTTGGCTGCCGGGCCAAACTGCCAGTCTGAATTCAGCCTCCATTCCTCCACATGCAACTGCTGGGTGACCTTGGGCAAGCCACAGTTCTCTCAGAACAGTTCTTTCACTCAGCCCCACCTACCTCACAGGTTGTCCATTGTGGGGAGAAGAAGGGAAGGAGATTGTAATCCACTCTGAAGGATGGGGTATAAATCTAATCTCTTCTTCTTCAACTCAGCTTAACCCATAAAATGGCCCCATACCTTGATACAGCTGAACTGGCCACCTGGATCCATACTACAGTAACATCAGGACCAATGCTCACTCTAAGCTGTGGAGTCATCCTTCCTGAGCTAAGACAAAAATCTGAGGACTGGAGGCTAAAAAACTATGAGCTAGCTCACACTGGGAACACTGATCAGGAGTAGACTGCTGTAATGCACTGTACATTGGCCTCTCCTCAAATTCAGTTCTTAAACTCTAGTTGGCGGAGGATGTCACAGCTCAGCTATTATTGGGAGCTAGACAAAGCAAGCATATTATTCCCATTCTGCAGTCACTCCACTGGCTGCCCATCAGTTACTGGGCTCAGTTTAAGGTATTGGCTATCACATACAAAGCCCTTCATGGCCTTGGACCCTCATAGCTCCAAGATTGCCTCTTCCCCTATACTTCACTCTTCTGAGCAGGGCCTTCTGCTGGAGGCAACCTGCAAATGGGCAACATCATCAACTGCCTGTATGTGTGCCTTCTCCATTGTGGCGCCCACCTTGTGGAATGCTCTTCCAGAGGAGGTCTCCCACTCTCTCAGCTTTCCGCAAACTGTGCATTATTCAAGAGAGCTTTTCTGCACAGGCAATAGGGTTGTACTCTACACAAGGATTCACAAAAGTACTTGGATATAATTTAAGGGACTGTGGCCTATACTACTCTGTATAGTTTGCTGTAAGTAGGATCCTACTGTGTAATTTTACATCATTTATTGTGTCACATTAATATTTCTGTTCTCTTTAGATTTCTGGTTGGTTCTACAACACTAAACATATTGCATTGTTGAATGTCCCATCCTGTTGACTCCTGTATTGACTCTATTTATCCTGCCTTGAGTCCCAATGAGACATGCAGCTGTAAGGTTAAAATAATAATAATAATAATAATAAAGCTTATTACAGACAGCCACACAGCTTATAACAACAACCAAAGAATCCTCAACAAATAACTTTAAAAATATAGTATAAAATCCTGGAATATCGGTAAATATTTGATTCTATTCTGATTCTATTTTTGTAGAAGTGTTCTGCCATGTTGTGCTTAATTTTCCTTATGTTCCAAATTAACTCTGAATGAACTTAATTTCAGAAGATGAAAACAAATTTTACATCTGTGATGACAAAGATGGCTCATCAGAAGTTCTTCATAATCAGGAGGATGAACCTAATGAGAAATTGAAAACTCGAAGAATCAAAAAGGTGAGCCTACCTAGCCAAAATATCCTGACTGACCCTGAGTAGATGTATGGAAAGTATGAATGAGGACCAGTGTTTACTGGTAGTACTGTTTGTTCCCAGCTTTTATTTATTTTTTAGAGAAGTTTTTATCTGACTGTTCTCTATAACTTGAATATTAAGATGTGTTTTACAGTCACAGTCAACAATTCGCTGTTAACAGGGAGCTATATTTTCAACTAAAGAAAGGCTGGAAGTGCAGGAATATTGGTTCTAGCCACTCTCCTGTTTTTTTTATTTTATTTCATACATATAAAATATGTATCTTTCATACATATAAATTAGACAATCAACATACAAACATTGAAAGATAAATAACCTCATACTGTAATTTTAAAAGTTCATTTGTTTCATACGCCGTATAATTTTAATAAACACCTTTTGCTCACAGGTATATATGTAGTTCTTATTCTTTTAATTTTGGCTGTAAGTCTAGGAATTTGATATGTTATGTTCCTCTGTCCATTTATAGAACCTTAACCACGTGTTCTCAAAATCTTCTTTGTTTTTTCCTCTCAACATTGAAGTTAAGTTATCCATCTCTGCTGTTTCCAGTATTTTACTTATAAATTCTTCCTTTGAAGGAGCTTCACTTCTTCTCCAGTGTTTAGCATATACTATTTTTGTCGCTGTTACAATATGTATAGTGAGGTAAAAGTCTTGTATTTTATATTTCTCTGGTGATATATTCAATAAATAGAATTCTGGTGTATAAGGCACAATAGTTTTTAACACTTTTTGTAAAATTTCATGTATCCAACTCCAATATTTTGTAGCTTTATCACATGTCCCCCACATATGGAAAAATGAACCAACAGTCATTTGGTAGGTCAGGGTAAAACTTAGCTAGTTTATCTGGGGTAATATACCATCTATAAAACATTTTGTATATATTTTCCTTATATGAAGTCGCTTTAGTGATCTTTACATTTGTTTTCCATACATGTGGCTGTTGATCTAAATCAATAATACGACCCAAGTTTTGTGCCCATTTGACCATACAGTTTTTAACTATTTCATCTAGTGTTTTATCTTCTAACATAATTATATACAATTTCTTAATTTATCATCAGTATGTAACAGTATCTTATCAATTTCTGTTATATTTCTATAAAAGCCTAATGGCTTGTCTTTAGCAAATCTCGACTCTATTTGTACCCTTTCCCACCAACCTATATTAATCTCTTGTTCTTTAAGACTTTCTGTTGATTTTAATTTATTTTAATTGTCTAACAAGTCCTCATATCTAAACAACATATTTTTTTTGCAATACATTTGGATTTGTAAAAGCTTCCAGTGGTGAAACCCATTTGAGTGTCTTAGTATAAAATAATCTTTTAATGTTTTCCCATTAAGGATTTCCTGATCAAAAATAGCTGTGTGTATCTGATTTTCCATAGCACACAAATGCATACCAGCCCAATGACTGATCATGCCCTTCCAAAGTCAGTATTCTAGTGTTTTCTAATGTGATCCATTCTTTTAACCACTCTACCAGTTTGGTAGTCCAAATCCAGCTCTTCCTTTAGCATATTGTAAAGCCTTCATTTTTATTCTTGGTTTTTTATTCTGTCATAAAATTGTGACATTACTTTGTCGAGTTCTTTAAAATACTGTTGATTCTGAAGAACTGGTATTGTTTGAAATAGGAAAATTAGTCTTGGGAGAATATTCATCTTTATTGTAGCTGTTCTACCCATCAAGGATAGTTGTAGGTTTCCCCCCCCCCCATTTTTCCAGATCTTTTTAAACTTCTATCATAAATTCCATATAGTCATCTTTCAGTGTTTGTAATGTTTATTCCTAGATACTTTACTTTCTTTTGTGATTGAAAGCCAGATTTCTCTTGTAACTGTTGCACTTGATCCTTATTCATGTTTTTAGTTAACACTTTTGTCTTAGTCAGGTTAATCTTCAATCCAGCCACATACCCATAGTCCAGTAATGTTGTCAGTAGTTTCACAATTGAATCCAATGAGTTTTCTAGGATAAATACCAAATAATCTGCAAATAATAATGTTTGGTTTATATTCTTCTCCTCTTATTTCAACTTCTCTGATGTATCTATCCTCTTTAACCATATTATTCAATACTTCAAGTACAAATATAAACAGTAATGGTGAAAGTGGACAGCCTTGTCTAGTTCCTTTTTGAATTTCAATATTTTGTGATAACTCACCATTAATGAGAATCCTAACTCTTTGTTTAGTATAAACTGCTCCGACCATTGTAAAAAATTCTGTACCACATCGAGAGGTTAACAGCTGCTCCAACATAAAACTCCAGCTGACATGATCAAACGCTTTTTCAGCATCCAAGAAAATTATGGCCATCTGTTTCTCCGGATGAGCTTCAAAGTATTCAATAACATTTAAAACAGTTCTTACATTATTTCTAAGTTGTCTTTTGGGTAAAAAACTGCTTGATCTTGATGTATTATCTGTATCAATATTTTCTTCAATCTTGTAGCTAAAATAGAAGCATAGAATCTTCTTCATGGTCTCTGTGCATCACACCTCTGGGATATAGTGCGCCTGTGCAGAACCCCGATCGGTATAATGGAAAGCAAAAGGGATTTTCGCGCCCACTCCCCAGTCACGTGCCGGGCTCCACTGCGCATTACTGGGGAGGGGCACGACGATCCCGCCAATTCTCTTCTGACCGCCGAGCTGGTAAGATCTTCTCCTCGGTCGGTAGCAATTTTCGCCTTTAGGCCCCTATTCTTGTTTTTTGTAGTTAGTTAGGAAAGTAGGTTATAGTTAGAGTTTCTTTGGATTTATCCCTGCTCCAGTGGAGATTTCCCCCTCCCTCCGGCCTGTGGCCAAACAGCGGGGTTTCTTTTGACGGTGCTGGAAGTGCGGTAGCAAAATTGCCCCCACGACAGACACTCACTTTGCCTTTTGTGCTTGGGGGAATCGCACTGAGTGGACTCTTACACCCACTGTTTCAAGTTCTCCAAGCAGACAAGGAAGAATCAGGCAGCTGGATTCGAGTCACGCTGTTGAAACTCGCGCTCTCTTCAATGGCGTCATCGCAGGACTCTTCTGGCCACGCCTCCATGTCAACGCCTGCATCGGAATCGATGGCTGCTCTGTCTTCAACAGCAGCTCTAGTCGATGCCGACCGATCGGTGCTGAAACGCTCGATCCCAGCATCGCAGTCTGAAGCCCATACTCCTTCAAAAAAACATAAGGAGGGCAAGGATGATCGGGTTTATTGAACCCGAATTTTTTCGGGAAACCCGAAAAAACCCAAATATCTAATTCGGTAAAGCATAGATATCCGAAAATATTCGGGAAACCCGAAAAATTCAGGTTCATTATAACCAATAGGGCCATTGAAGTCAATGGCAAAAAACCTCTTGAAACTTTGCAGGGGGGAGGGGGGAGGTTGGACAGTGGCTGCTCAAGCCTCTCCCCGAAAGACCCCCAAAGTTTCGAGAAGATTGGTCCAGGGGGTCCGATTCCAGGGGCATCCAAAGAGGGTGCCCCTAGTCCCCCCAGATCAGCTTGCTGTATTGCCGGTTTGCCGCCGAAATTCGGCGGCAATGCATTTCAATAGGATTTTTACCTTTTGCTTTCCTTTTTGCAGACCCCTAGGAGGGTCCAATTCTATGGGCCCCCAAACAGGTTGCCCCCATCCCTCCATTGTTCTGGGAATGGAGGGATGGGGC